TTGTGTTGTTTTGGGTTTGGGTTTTGGGGTGGGTTTTGGGGTTTTTGTTTTATTGTTGGTTGTTGGTTTTTTGGGGGGGGGTGGTGGGGTGGTGTGGTTGGGGGATGTGGTTTGTGGGGGTTTTTTGATTGGGGGGTTGGTTGGTTTTTTTGGTGTGTTGTGGGTTTGTTTGGGTGGTGTGTTTTGTTAGTTTTTTTTGGAGTTGTGTTGTTTTTGTTTGTGTGTAGTTTTGATGTTGGTTTAGGGTTATTTATTTTAGGGTAGTGTGTATGGAATTTTAGTTGTAGTTGGGGGAGGTTTTTGGGTTTTTTAATTATATGGTAGTGTTATATGGATATTTTTTATATGGGGGAATGTTATTTGGGATTTTATTTTATTGGGTTGTGTGGGTATAAGGATTGTTATTAGATGGTGTGGTGTATATGGATATGGTGTTTATGGTGAGTTGTATAGGTTTGGGATGGTTTTGTTGGTGTGTGGGTTGTAGGTTTGTTTTGTGTTGTTGGGGGTTTTGGGTTTGTGGATTTGTGGTTGTGGATATGGGTTTTGAGTTTGATTGGGGGTGTGTGTTTTTTATGGAGAGTTTTGTTTGGTTTGTGGTTATAGTATTGAAGGAGTGGGATGGTTTTGGGTTTGTGTTTGTTGGTTGGGGGGTGGTTGTTTGTTTTTTTGTGGGGTGTGGTGTTTTTTTATTTGTGTTGGGTGTGTGTGTTTTTTGTTAGATATATAGGGTGTGGGTGTGTTATGGATTTTTTTGTTTTGTGGTTAGTGGGTTAAGTATATTTTATGTGTGGGGTGGGTGTAGGGTTGTTTTTGTGTGGGTTGGGTGTTGTGTGTTTTTGTGTGTTGGTGATTAGGGTGAGTTTTTGTTTTGGGGTTGTGGTTTGGTTTGGGTGGGGGGGGTGGGGTTGTGTTTGGTTTTGTTTGTTGTTTTTTGTTTTGTGGTTTGGATAGATGTAGGTGGTTTTTGTTTGTGTGTTTTGTTTTGTTGTGTTTGTTTTGTTTTTTTGTTGTTTGTGTTGTTTTTGTTGTGTTGTTTGTTGTTTTGTTGTGAGTGTGTTGTTGTGTGTTGGTTGGGTGTGGGTGTTGTTGTGTGTGTGTTGTGAGTTTTAGATGTTGTTTTTGTGTTTGTTGGGTGTTTTTTGTGTGTGTTGTGTGTTTGGTTGTTTTTGGTGTGTTTGTGTTTTGTTTTTTTTTGTTTGTGTTGTGTTTTTTTTTTGTGTATTGTGGTTTGGTTTTGTTTATTTTGTTGTTTGTTGTGTGTTAGGTGAGTTTGGTTTTATGTTTTGTTTTTATTGTTGTGTTTGTGTTGTGGGTTTTTGTTATGGTTATTTGGGGGATTTGTTTGGTGTAGTGGGTTTTGGGGTGTTTGTGGGTTGATTTTGTAATTTTTGTGGGTGGTTTTTTTTGTGTATGTTAATTGGTTGATTTGTGGGTTTTTATTGGGGATTGTAGTTTTGTATAGATGGTATGTTTTTTGTTGTTTTTATGGTGTTTTGTGGAGTGTTGTGTTGTTAGATGTGTGTGTTTTGAGATGATAATAGGGGGTGATGATAATAGGGTATGTTAATAGGGGGAATGATAATAAAGGGTATAATAATAGAGGTATTATAATAGGGGTAGTTAATTGGTATTTTTGAGGATTTGTATTGGGTTATATTGGGTATGAGATTTGGGGGTAGAGAATTGGTTTTTAATTGGATTAGATATAGTGTTTGATGTTTTGGTGGTGGTTAATGTTTGGTGGTGGGGTGTTTGGATGGGGTAGTGATTTTTTATGTGTTGTTGGTGGAGGGGGTGTTGTTGGGTGGATTTGGAGAAGTGAGCTTGGTGTTTGAGGGAATAGAAATATTAATGGGAGTGGTTTTTGGGGATTTAGTGTTTTTTGGAGGGTGGTTGGGGTGGTTTTGGTTTTTAGTGTATTTTTTTTTTTGTGTATGTTATTTGGTGGTGGAGTGTGGGGGGTTTTGTGTTTTGGAGGGGGGGGTGTGTGTATGGGTGGTGTTTTGTGGGTTTGGGGTTAGTGTAGGTTGGTGTTTGTGGATTTGTGTGTGGGTGTTTGTGTTTTTGGTTTTGTGGTGTTGTGGGTTTTGGTGTGTTGGGTTGGTGTTGTGTTTTTGTTGTGGTGTGGTTTGTTGGTGTGTGGGTGTGGTGGTGGTGTTGTGTGGGTGATGGTGTTGAGGGTGTGTTGGGTGGTGATTTGGGGTGTGTGGTGGTGGGTGTGTGTTGATATGTTTGTGTTGTGTGGGTGATTTTATTTTGTGTTTGGGGGGAAGTGGTATTTTGTTAGTTGGGGTGTTGTTGTGTGTTGGGGGTTGGGTTTGTGTGTGTGGTTTTGGTTGGTTATGTAATTGATTTTGTGTGTTGGGGTTTGGTTGGGGTTGTTGGGGTTGATGATATTGGTGGTGGGGGGGGGTTTGGTTGGTTGTGAGTGGGTTGGGAGTGTTATGTGTGGGGTTGGTTTGAGGTTTGAGTGAAATGGGGGTTAGAGTTATGATGGGTTAGGTGAAAGGGAGGTTTAGGTTAAGTGTGTTTTGTGGTTGTGGTGTTTGAGTGAATGAGGGTTGAGTTAAGAGAGGTTAGTTTAGAGAGGTTTGAGTGTTAGTGGTTTTGAGTTATGTAGATGTTTTAATTTTGTGTGAGTGGATGGTGTATGTTGTTTTTGTGGGGAAGTTAAGGGGAGTTAAGTGTTGAGTTTTGAGTGTAGAGATGGTAGTTAGAGGAGTTTTAGTTTTGGAGTGGTGTTTTTGGTGGTGTAGTGGTATGGTGGGTTTGGGGTGTTGGGGTGTTTGTTGTTGGGGATGGTTTGTTTTTGTTTAGTGTGGTTTTGTGTGTGTTGGTGTGGGTTTGGGGGTGTGTTGGTGTGTTGGGTGTGTGGGGGTGTGGTTGTGTTGGTTTGTGTTTTGGGTGGTGGTTGGGTTTGGTGGTTTGGGTTGTGTGGTGTGGGTTGTGTGTTGGTTGATGGAGGTTGTTGTGGTGTGGTGTTTTGTTGGGGTTGGGTTGGGATGGTAGTGGGTTTGTTTTTGGATGTGGTGTGTGTAGGTGTTTTTTTGTTTGGTGGTGTGTTTTTGTGGTGTTGTGTGTTTTTTATTGGGGGTTGTGTTGTTGGTTTTGTTGTTGGATTGGTGGTTGGTTTTTTGGGGGTGTGGTTTGTTGGTTGTTTGTTTGTGTTGTATTTTTTGAGTGGGGATTGGTTTTGTGTATGGGTTGGTGGGTTGTGTTTTTGGTTGGGTCTTGGTGGGTGTGGTTGTGGGTTTTGGGTTTTGTGGTTTTGGTGTGGTGTTGTGTGTGGGGTGTGTGGTTTGGTGGGTTGTGTTGGTGTGTTGGGGATTGGTGTGTGTGGTGTGTTGTTGTTGGTTGTGGGTTGGGTGTGTGGTTTTGTTGTTTGATGGTTTGGTGGTGTTGGTGAGTGTGTTTTGTGATTGTGGTGGTGAGTTATGGGGTGTTGATGATGTGGTTATGTTAAGGTGGTTTGTGTAAGGAGGTTTAGTTTGAAGAGTGGTTTAGTTATGAGGAGGTTTTAGTTATGGGAGGGTTTAGAGTGAGAGGAGTTTTAGTAGAGTGTTTTGAGTGGTGTTTGAGGTGGGTTGAAGTTATGAGGATTTAGTGTTAAGGGAGTTTAAGTTGAAGAGTTAGAGAATGGTGTAGAAGTTGATAGAGTTTAGAGTTGAGATGGTTTTTTGAGATGGTGTGGTGGTTGATGTTTGAGGTTTAGTGGGTAGTGTGGTAGAAGAGAGGGTTTAAGTTTAGAGGGAGTGTTATTGGAGTGGAGTTTAGTGTTAGTATTTTTGTGTTGTATGTGGAGGGTTGTGTTGATATGAATGGTTTGAGTTTAGTTAAGTTTGTATATTGAGGAGGGGTTGATGTTAAGGGAGTTTTGTATTGGTTGGGATTTAATTATGGAGGTTTTGAAGTTGGAGAGGGGTGGTGTATGTGTGAGTGGTGTGTTTGGAGGTTTTTGGGGAGTGTGTTTTGGGGTTAGGGTTGGTTGGGTGGTGTTGGGTTGGTGGTTGGTTTGTGGGGTGTGGGTGTTGGTTTTGTTGTGGTGGTTTTGTTGTTGGTGTTTTTGGTTTGTTGTTGTGTGTGTGTGGTTGTGTTGTTGGGTGGGGGTGTGTTTGTGGTGTGTGGTTGGTGTGTGTGGTGGGGGGTGTGTGTTTGTTGTTTGGTTTGGGTTTTTTTTGGGTTGTTGGTTGTGGTTGTGTTGGTGTGTTGTTTTGTTTTTGGTTTTGGTTTGTTGGTGGGTTTGTGGATGTGTTTGGTGGGGGTGTGTTGGTGTGTTTGTGGGTTGTTGTGTGTGTGGGGGTTTGGTGGGGTTGTTGGTGGGTTTGGTGGTGTGGGGTTTTGGTGGTGTTGGTTGTGTTGTTGGGGGGTGTTTGATTTTGTGTTTTGTTTGGTTTTTGTTGTTTTTTGTGTGTTTGGGGGGTGTGGGGGGGTGTTTGTGTTGTGATTTGGGTTAGTGGATGTTGTGTTGTGTTGTGTTTTGTTGTTGTGTGTTGTGTGTGTGTTTTTGTGTGTTGTTTTGTTGTTGTGGTTGTGTGAGTTGTGTTGGTTTGTTGTGTTGTGTGTTTGTGGTGGTTTTTGGTTGGTTTGTTGTTGTTGGTTGTGTTTGTTGTGGTTTTTTGTGTGTTTGTTGTTGTGGTTGTGTTGTGTGTTGTGGTTTGGTTTGTTGATTTTGGTGTATTTGATGAAATGTTGTTTTTGGTTGGTGGATATTGTTTTTGTGTGGTTTTGTTTTGTTTTTTTTTGTTTGTTTGTTGTGTGTTGTTGTTGTTTGGTTGTAGGTTGTTTTGTTTATGGAGTATAAGATAAGGTTTTTAAGTAGTTTTTTTTGTTGGTGTTTGTGTGGTTGTGGAGAGTGGTGGTGTTTTTAGTGGTTTGGAGTTGTTTTTGTGTAGTGTTGTGGGTTTGTGTGTTTGTTTGGGGGGATTGGTGTGGTTGTTGTTGGTTTTGTTTTTTGGTAGGTATATGGTTAGTTGTTGTTTATTTATTGGGGGGGGGGTATGTGGGTTTTTGGGTTTATTGTTGTTGGGGGTGTTTTATTGTGGGGGTGTTTGGGGGGTGGGGGGGGGGTTTGGTGTGGTGTTGGTGTTTGGTTTGGTGTGGTTGTGGTTTTGTTGATTTTGTGTTTTATGGGGGTATTGTTTGGGGTTGGGTTTTTTGGTTTGGTGGGTTGGTGGTTTGGGGGTGTGTGGGTGTTTGGGTTTGGGGGGTTGGGTTTTTTGGTTTTTTTGGTTGTTATTGATGGTGGTTTTGTTGTTTTTTTGTTTTTTATGGTGTGTAGGGTTTGGTTTGTTTGTTTGTTGTGTTGTGTTGGGGTTGGGTGTTGGGTGGGGTTTGAGTTATGTTTGGTTGTTTTGTTTGTGTGGTTGGGTGGTTGTGTTTGAGGCTGTGCAGCTGAGGTCATGTCCTCTGAAGCCTGTGTTCTGTCAGAGGAGGATCACTCCCACCTCCTCACACCTCCTTTCCCTCCTCCTCCATGTCTCTACCGCCTCTTCCTCATCTCTCCCTCCTCTCTCCTCCCCTCCTCTCTCCTTCTCTCACCTCCTCTCTCCTCCTCTCCTCCTCTCTCTCCTCCTCTCACCTCTCTCTCCTCCTCCTCTCCCTCTCCTCTCTCTCTCTCTCCTCCCCCCTCCTCTCTTCTCTCTCTCCTCCTCTCCTACTCCTCTCACCTCCTCTCTCCTCCTCTCACCTCTCTCTCCTCCTCTCCTCCTCCTCTCTCCTCCTCTCACCTCTCTCTCCTCCTCCTCTCCTCTCCTCTCTTCTCTCTCTCCTCCTCTCCTACTCCTCTCACCCTCCTCTCTCCCCCTCCTCTCTTCTCTCTCCTCCTCCTCCTCTCCCCTCCTCTCTTCTCTCTCTCCTCCTCTCCCCTCCTCTCACCTCCTCTCTCCCCTCCTCTCTTCTCTCTCTCCTCCTCTCACTCTCTCTCTCTCCTCTCCTCCTCCTCTCCTCCTCCTCTTCCCTCCTCTCTTCTCTCTCTCCTCCTCTCCTACTCCTCTCACCTCCTCTCTCCCCTCCTCTCTTCTCTCCCCTCCTCCTCTCCTCCTCCTCTCCTCCTCTCTCCTCCTCTCTCCTCCCCTCCTCTCTCCTCCTCTCTCCTCCCCTCCTCTCTCCTCCTCTCTCCTCCCCTCTCTCTCTCCTCCTCTCTCCTCTCTCTCATCCTCTCCTCATCCTCTCTCCTCCTCTCTCCTCCCTTCATCTCTCTCCTCCTCTCTCCTCCTCTCCTCCTCCCCTCCTCCTCCTCTCTCCTCCAGGGTCCACCTTGACCTGTGACCTGTCGTGGGCAGATTCTCTGATCAGAGTCGTGTCCTGCTCCTTCTCTGGTTCTTTGCCTCCTTCTGTTCCGCCGTGTACCCGCCCACAGCCAGCGCGCCTCCTGCTGGGCTCATCCGTCACCATCAGTCAGGGGGGGAGAGCGGGTAGAGGGGGAGAGGGGGGAGTCACCAGGGGGTCTGCAATGTAGAGGAGGTGTTTACAGAGGTTTGGCTCATGATTGTGAAACCAAAGATTTCTAACAATTAATCACATATTTTTCCATGTTCTAAATGTTTATGTTCAGAGAGACTGAGGCTGTAGACCCAGGACTGAGACTGTAGACCCAGGACTGAGGCTGTAGACCCAGGACTGAGAATGTAGACCCAGGACTGAGGCTGTAGACCCAGGACTGAGGCTGTAGACCCAGGACTGAGGCTGTAGACCCAGGACTGAGGCTGTAGATCCAGGACTGAGGCTGTAGACCCAGGACTGAGGCTGTAGACCAGGACTGACGTCGTAGACCCAGGACTGAGGCTGTAGACCCAGGACTGAGGCTGTAGATCCAGGACTGAGGCTGTAGATCCAGGACTGAGGCTGTAGACCCAGGACTGAGGCTGTAGACCCAGGACTGAGGCTGTAGACCCAGGACTGAGGCTGTAGACCAGGACTGACGCCGTAGACCCAGGACTGAGGCTGGAGACCCAGGACTGAGGCTGTTGGTACTTGGTTGTCACGGAGATGCTGCACTTCCTGTTTTGGTGAAAGGGGGCGGGTCTTAGCGTGGAGCAGAAGGCCTGGTGTCGCTCTAACTTCATTTCTGTAACTGATCTGAGGTTTATTCGATTATCTCTGCTCACATCACCGTCTATTGTCCCAAAGCAAACCACATCACATACCCACACGGAGCCAAGGGCCCAGCCCTGTAGACCCAGGGCCCGGCCCTGTGGACCCAGGGGCCCGGCCTTGTAGACCCAGGGACCAAACATAGATCCTGGCCTAGTCCTGCATCCACGGGGAAGAGCCTCTCACGATTGTTCACGTCTGTCCCTCTTCAGCCTCTGCCACAAGGACAGATGTAAACACAGAGGCTCATTTGGAATATTCAGGATTTAGACTTTATTATTTTAAAGTTAGAGATAGTTTGAATTTTAATATAAAGTTATTGTTAATTTATCTTGTGCTGTGCTCCTCGTTCTGTTCTGTAACAATGCAACACAAAAGGATCTCTTCATCTTCATCGTGTTCGATCTTCACATCTGCTCCACAACATTTTAGATTCATTTAAAGCTGGGGTATCTAACTTTTGTATCATTCAATATTTTGACATTTGAACCATGTTTTAACTTTAACGTATCAAAAATAGACATTTAGTTGTTTTTAGTTCAGGTCAGGAACTTCTGCCACGTTCTCTGTGTAAGTCAGGGGTGTCCAGACTTTTTGTGCCAGTTGTTTAGGGGCCGACCACAGACCTCAGATGGTTGGCACAGATCTGAGGACCCTCTTGAAAACGAGATGATGCATCAACACACTGTTTACTGTTACCATAGCAACACATGTTTACTGTTACCATAGCCACACACTGTTTACTGTTACCATAGCCACACACTGTTTACTGTTACCATAGCCACACACTGTTTACTGTTACCATAGCCACGCACTGTATACTGTTACCATAGCCACACACTGTTTACTGTTACCATAGCCACGTACTGTTTACTGTTACCATAGCAACACATGTTTACTGTTACCATAGCCACACACTGTTTACTGTTACCATAGCAACACATGTTTACTGTAAGTAAGTAAGTAAGTAAGTAAGTAATCTTTATTTATATACCGCCTTTCACAGACCAGAGTCACAAAGCGGTTTACAATTGTTATTATTTTTGGGCATTTGTCCACTCACTCCACACAGAGATGGGAGCGGGGTCAGTTACCATAGCCACACACTGTTTACTGTTACCATAGCAACACATGTTTACTGTTACCATAGCAACACATGTTTACTGTTACCATAGCCACGTACTGTTTACTGTTACCATAGCCACGCACTGTATAATGTTACCATAGCCATGCACTGTTTACTGTTACCATAGCCACGTACTGTTTACTGTTACCATAGCCACGCACTGTATAATGTTACCATAGCCATGCACTGTTTACTGTTACCATAGCCACGTACTGTTTACTGTTACCATAGCCACGTACTGTTTACTGTTACCATAGCCACGTACTGTTTACTGTTACCATAGCAACACATGTTTACTGTTACCATAGCCACACACTGTTTACTGTTACCATAGCAACACATGTTTACTGTTACCATAGCCACACACTGTTTACTGTTACCATAGCAACACATGTTTACTGTTACCATAGCAACACATGTTTACTGTTACCATAGCCACACACTGTTTACTGTTACCATAGCAACACATGTTTACTGTTACCATAGCCACACACTGTTTACTGTTATCATAGCAACACATGTTTACTGTTACCATAGCCACACACTGTTTACTGTTACCATAGCCACACACTGTTTACTGTTACCATAGCCACGCACTGTTTACTGTTACCATAGCAACACATGTTTACTGTTACCATAGCAACGCACTGTTTACTGTTACCATAGCCACGCACTGTTTACTGTTACCATAGCAACACACTGTTTACTGTTACCATAGCCACACATGTTTACTGTTACCATAGCAACACATGTTTACTGTTACCATAGCCACACATATTTACTGTTACCATAGCAACACGTGTTTACTGTTACTATAGCAACACACTGTTCACAGGTTCTCTGATCTGCGTTGGTGATTTCAATGGTTTTGTTAAGTCTCTGAGATGATGCTGTCACTGATTTAGGGCTAAAAAAGAATAAATTGTATTGTATTGTATTTTATTGTAGTTACCATAGCAAAAAACTCAACAAACACAACAAACTACAGTCTGAAGTTAGCATTAGCCTTGTTTTGTTGCTGTATTTTAGTTGCAGTGATAATGACCAGTTTTAGCACTTATTAAAAGTGACCCAAGGTTAAACAAAAGAAGGAAACTAGAAACTTGCAATGGCTGAAGCCATTGCGATTGACTGCGGAACAGATCTAATGTGGAAATCTGCTAAAAAAAATCCTTGAAATCCTTTAAAAAGCCTTGAAACTGTTAAAATACTTGATAGATATTTGAAACTCCTGAAGTCCTTGAAATTGTTGAAACCTTTAAACTCCTGAAATCCTTGAAACTGTTGAAACATTGAAACTCCTGAAATCCTTGAAACTTTTTTAAACCTGGAAACTGTTGAAAGTGTGGAAACTCCTGAAATCCTTGAACCTCCTGATATCCTTGAAACTGGTTAAATTCTTAAACAGCTGAAATCCTTGAAACTACTGAATGTATTGAAAGTGTCCTTGAAACTGAAAAATCCCCTCACCGCTGAAACAATTTGGTTCCTGTAACTAAGGAAACCTGGTCTGTGGTCATTATCTGGTGGTGGTCTGAGTCTTCGTTTGGGTCTTGGTCTGGTGGTATAATGCAACCTATTAGGTTGCATTATACATGAAAAAACCCTATTAAGTTGCATTATACTGGTTTACATGAAAAAAACCCTATTAAGTTGCATTATACTGGTTAACATGAAAAAAACCCTATTAAGTTGCATTATACTGGTTTACATGGAAAAATCCCTATTAAGTTGCATAATACTGGTTTACATGGAAAAATCCCCATTAAGTTGCATTATACTGGTTTACATGAAAAAAACCCTATTAAGTTGCATTATACTGGTTTACATGAAAAAAAACCCTATTAAGTTGCATTATACTGGTTTACATGAAAAAACCCTATTAAGTTGCATTATACTGGTTTACATGGAAAAATCCCTATTAAGTTGCATTATACTGGTTTACATGGAAAAATCCCTATTAGGTTGCATGATTACACTGAAGTCCTTGAAACTGCTGAAGTCCTTGAAACTGCTGAAGTCCTTGAAACTGCTGAAGTCCTTGAAACTGTTGAAGTCCTTGAAACTCTTGAAATCTTGAAACTGCTGAAATCCTTGAAACTGTTGAATCCTTGAAACTGTTGAATCATTGAAACTGTAGAAATGTCTGAAAGAGCTGAAGTCCTATTAAAATGCATGGGCCTATTAAAATGCATTGCAGAATTCTCAATGCAGATTTTTGTCCGATTGCGGAAAAACCGGAAATCGCTGAAGTCCCAAAAGTAATAGCAATAATCTCCCAAACATGTGGAACGTTTTGATGTATAACTTGTGGAAATTGTTGAAAATGTGAAAGCTGTGAAACGTGTCAAAAAAAATGACGGAATAAAGAAATACAAAACCAATGGTTGACTGCGGAAGGTTCCGCAGTCAATCAATAAAAGGATAATTGATTGACTGCGGAACCTTCCGCAGTCAACCATTGGTTTTGTATTTCTTTATTCCGTCATTTTTTTTGACACGTTTCACAGCTTTCACATTTTCAACAATTTCCACAAGTTATACATCAAAACGTTCCACATGTTTGGGAGATTATTGCTATTACTTTTGGGACTTCAGCGATTTCCGGTTTTTCCGCAATCGGACAAAAATCTGCATTGAGAATTCTGCAATGCATTTTAATAGGCCCATGCATTTTAATAGGACTTCAGCTCTTTCAGACATTTCTACAGTTTCAATGATTCAACAGTTTCAAGGATTCAACAGTTTCAAGGATTTCAGCAGTTTCAAGATTTCAAGAGTTTCAAGGACTTCAACAGTTTCAAGGACTTCAGCAGTTTCAAGGACTTCAGCAGTTTCAAGGACTTCAGTGTAATCATGCAACCTAATAGGGATTTTTCCATGTAAACCAGTATAATGCAACTTAATAGGGATTTTTCCATGTAAACCAGTATAATGCAACTTAATAGGGTTTTTTCATGTAAACCAGTATAATGCAACTTAATAGGGTTTTTTTTCATGTAAACCAGTATAATGCAACTTAATGGGGATTTTTCCATGTAAACCAGTATAATGCAACTTAATAGGGGTTTTTACATGTAAACCAGTATAATGCAACTTAATAGGGTTTTTTCCATGTAAACCAGTATAATGCAACTTAATAGGGTTTTTTCCATGTAAACCAGTACAATGCAACTTAATAGGGATTTTTCCATGTAAACCAGTATAATGCAACTTAATGGGGATTTTTCCATGTAAACCAGTATAATGCAACTTAATGGGGATTTTTCCATGTAAACCAGTATTATGCAACTTAATAGGGATTTTTCCATGTAAACCAGTATAATGCAACTTAATAGGGATTTTTCCATGTAAACCAGTATAATGCAACTTAATAGGGATTTTTCCATGTAAACCAGTATAATGCAACTTAATAGGGATTTTTCCATGTAAACCAGTATAATGCAACTTAATAGGGTTTTTTTTCATGTAAACCAGTATAATGCCACTTAATAGGGTTTTTTTCATGTAAACCAGTATAATGCAACTTAATGGGGATTTTTCCATGTAAACCAGTATAATGCAACTTAATATGGGTTTTTACATGTAAACCAGTATAATGCAACTTAATAGGTTTTTTTTTTTACATGTAAACCAGTATAATGGAACTTAATAGGGTTTTTTACATGTAAACCAGTATAATGGAACTTAATAGGGGTTTTTACATGTAAACCAGTATAATGGAACTTAATAGGGGTTTTTACATGTAAACCAGTATAATGCAACTTAATAGGGATTTTTACATGTAAACCAGTATAATGCAACTTAATAGGGATTTTTCCATGTAAACCAGTATAATGCAACTTAATAGGGTTTTTTACATGTAAACCAGTATAATGCAACTTAATGGGGATTTTTCCATGTAAACCAGTATAATGCAACTTAATAGGGGTTTTTACATGTAAACCAGTATAAAGGATAACAGTTTAAAGGATATCAAGAGCTTCAAATACTTCAGGAGTTTCAAAGATGTTTAAAGTATTTTAACAGTTTCAAGGATTTCAAGGATTTTTCAGCTAAATTCCACATTAGATCTGTTCCGCAGTCAATCGCAATGGCTTCAGCCATTGCAAGTTTCTAGTTTGTTTTATTTTAATGAATCAAGTGAAAAAGTAAACGGAATTTCTCAGAATTCCATCTGTGCCTAAGAGCATTCAAACTGAGCCTCTGGGAGTCCGAGTATTCCCAGAGTCCTGAATCCGAGTATCTCCATAGTTCTTAGTCCAATTCCCAGAGTCCTGAGTCCTTAAGAAATGACAAAATACTGACTTATTGTCGTTGGTGAAATTACTGTTGTTTGTTCAAAAGTCTCAGACATTTGTCGCTTAAACCTCATCATTTTATTAAAACACTTTATTACAGCGACACATCGTCCTGAAAAGACTTTTCTTTCATTTGGATTCCATCAAAAAGTTTGATATCGAGACAGACTATGTTTAAATATTTAGTAACATTAAAACATGTTGCTGTTTATGGTCTAGTGTGGCCCAGTGTGGCCCAATGTGGTCCAGTGTGGTCCATTGTGGCCCAGTGTGGCCCAGTGTGGCCCAGTGTGGTCCAGTGTGGCCCAGTGTGGTCCAGTGTGGCCCAGTGTGGCCCAGTGTGGTCCAGTGTGGTCCAGTGTGGTCCAGTGTGGCCCAGTGTGGCCCTAAACTCTGAGATTGTTATAATCCACCTCTGGTCCCACATGGTTCACGCTGAGAGAACACATGGGCCATTTGGTGATTATTTATTTATTTATTTATGTATTTCTCCAGCAGCTGAAGAGAACACACAGAGACAGAAGCTTCAGGGGCTTCTACGAAAATAAGTCAAAAACTACACAAATTTGACCAAATGTCTCTAAATCTGAGCACATTCTGACTGAGCCTAAACAAAAGAAAATGATCCTGTTTTTAAAATACACAAGAAATGTCTCCTTTGGAAGAGGAAGGACAATAAAAAACACAAATCCTTTACTTTTTATTTATTTTCAGCGATTGGTGTTTACCAAATGGTGCAGATAAAGTTTTATGGTAAAAGAGCTAAAAACCATGAAGTGAGACTCCCCAAAGAGATTTCAGATTCAAGTCGATGGTGACTCAATAATTATTCAGAAAACGGTCGAGGAAACCATCGTCAGAACAAACTCAGAAAAAAAACTCACATTGTTTTCTCAAGATGAAAAGTAGAAAATACTTTAACACTTTTCTTCTTCAGGCTCGTGTTTCTCTGTTTTATTATTATTATATTCACTGTTTTAAATGCTCCGTGATATTTATGAATCTAATGATTGTGAGACTGTTTTTATTTTTTTTGTTAAACTCTCTGAGTTTGTATGAACTGTGCTATACAAATAAACTTACCAAAGCCTCCTCAGTTCAGCAACATATGTTCAAAGGTTTTAAAGAAGTCTGACTCTGGGTTTATGCCTGAATGTTTCAGAACCAGAGAAGATACAAACTTTAGTCATGAATGTTTTTAACACTTTACAGATGATTTTCCTCCTCGTGAGTTTAAACGTTTATGTCTGAGTTCTGCTGTTACTGCTCAGATGTATCTTTATTTTAAAGATAGTATAGATCTGTGGCTCCGCAGCTGAGCTCCACAGCGGCTCTTTGTGCTCCGTGAGGCCGCAGAGCGCGCGCCCCTCTCCCGCTCCTGACAGGCCCCGGCCGCCGACGATTGATGGGACGGTTTGATTGAAGTCTCTTTGTCGCGCTGATGTCACGGGACGTGATGGATGAGGCGCGTGCGCGTTGGACGAGTCCTGCTGGCGCGCGCACTCCCGGTGCTGCTGTCCCGGGACCTCAGGCGGAATGGGAGACCCGAGAGTCACGTGACTGGCCCAGTATGAAAGGAGCAGAGAGGAGAGGCACGAGCTGGTCAACAGGACCAAACCAGGACTAAACCAGGACCAAGCCAGGACCAAACCAGGAGAACACCAGGGCCAAGCCAGGACCATGAAAACCAGGACCAAAGACTTGGATTAAAGTGCTGGATTGAACCTGGATTGAAGCACTGAAAAAGGACTAGGCCAGGACTGCAGGAGCAGGACTGAAGCAGGCTCCAGGCTCCAGGCTCCAGGCTCCAGGTTCCAGGCTACAGGCTCCAGGCTCCAGGCTCCAGGCTCCAGGACGCGGTGATGGCTGAGTGATGCTGACGCACTCACTTCTCGCGTTATTTGCGCTGTCACTGGAGCAGACAGGTTTATTGACACCATGGCCTTGTTACGCACACCCACGCACACACGCGCTCACTGAGGGCTGTCCCGGGACGCTCCGCACGGGACCACACTGATGCACGTGATTTATGTTTTTCATGTGAATTATGTGAATTCTGTGAATGATGTCAATTCAGTGACTTCTCAGATTTTTACTCTTTGATACAACTTTGACGCACCCTTTACGCACCGCTTTGGAGCAGTCCCGCGGCGCGTGCATGGACACATCCGACATGAACTCGTTCCTGGAGTACTCTTACCACTCAGAGGCGGGCTTCCCTCTGGCCCCGGGGCCCTTCCACTCGGGCTCCTGCTCCTCGGGCTCATCGGGGTCCTCGGGTTCCGGGGACAGCGGATACACCGCGGACACGCGCCTGTACCACGAGCCCCCGCATCAGCAGCACGAGCCTCACGGATATGCTCACGCGCACCCTCAGCACAGTGCACAGAGCGGGCTCCTGTACGGGGCCCCTGGGGGCCACTACAGCGCGGACTATAACCCGCAGTACTTCGTGGAGGAGCCCGTGGGGCCCCCGTACTATCAGCAGCCCTTCCCCTGCTCTGGGCCCAACACCGGCCCCAGCTACGGGGCCCTGGCGGGAGCCTACGCCCCCCCGACAGGACAGTACCCACAGCAGGAGCCTGTGCCCGGGTACCTCCTGCAGCCCGCCGGGTACGGAGAGGGATCCGTGAGTCAGAGAGAGAGGCCCGAGGAGCCAGAGGCCCCGGGGCCCACCTTCGACTGGATGAAAGTGAAGAGGAACCCGCCGAAGACAGGTCCGTGCTGCACACACACACACGCACACACACACACACACACACACACACACACACCCACACACACATTAGTCGCTGTCAGGACCTGGGTTCATCCCGCGGACACAGATCTCTCATCATAAACCAGGCGCGTGCAGGAGTCTGTATCCGCGTGCACACGGTTAGGTCACGGTTTAACAGTCTGTAACTTTATCACAGACTGTTGGATTTTGTTCTAAAGTCTCAGTCCGTTAAAGACCAGGCCGTGCGGAGTGTGTTTCTCAGAACCATCCTCTGATGATGATGAAGATGTTTCCTCTTCATCATTATTTCCTGATGCAGCTCCGCGTGACAAAAGCCTGAAGAGTTTGTTATTTGTTTATCTATATCTATAATTATGTTAGAAAATAAATAAACTCTATGGCCAGCTATAGATGTTACAGTTTTGATTGATAATAATAATAATAATAATAATAATAATAATAATAATAATAATAATAATAATTCACAGTGAGTCGGTCCCTGGGAGCGGACCCTGATCCTGGGCCCGAGGCTCCTCTAGTGCTGCAGGGTCTGAGGACAATTAACGTTATTCTTGAGTTTCCTGATTCTCTGATCTGATAATAATAATAATAATAACTATAACATAATAATAATAATAATAACAGTAATAATAATAAAATAATAAAAATAATGATAATAATAATAATAATAATAATAATAGTTACAGTGAAAGTAATAAAAATAACAATAACAACAGCAGTAATGATAATAAAATAATAATAATAGTTATAATAAAAGTAATAAAAACAACAGTAATAATAATAATAGTGTCCTGTGTGTTGCAGTGAAAGCGGACTACGGGCTCCCGGGGCCTCAGACCGTGATCCGGACTAACTTCAGCACGCGGCAGCTCACGGAGCTGGAGAAGGAGTTCCACTTCAGTAAATACTTGACGCGCGCGCGCCGCGTGGAGATCGCGGCGACGCTGGAGCTGAACGAGACGCAGGTGAAGATCTGGTTCCAGAACCGCCGAATGAAGCAGAAGAAGCGGGAGCGGGAGGCCCCCAGCCGGTCCCCCTCCTCCGGCCCCGGGAAAGAGGCCGAGGACTCGAACTCAGACCAGTCCTCCACGTGCACGTCCCCAGGCGCGTCCCCGACGTCGGACACATAACGGCACAAAACACTTGTGCACGTGGGACACTAATCACTATAGCCCCGTTTCCACCAACCCAACTCTACTCTACTCTGCTCTACCCTACCCTAGTCTAGTCTAGTCTAGTCTAGTCTAGTCTAGTCTAGTCTAGTCTAGTCTAGTCTAGTCTAGTCTAGTCTAGTCTAGTCTCTACTCTACTCTACTCTACTCTACTCTACTCTACTCTACTCTACTCTACTCTACTCTACTCTACTCTACTCTACTCTACTCTACTCTACTCTACTCTACTCTACTCTACTCTACTCTACTCTACCCTACCCTATACCCTACCCTACTCTACTCTGCCCCAATCGGGACTGTTTCCACTGGTCCTGTGTAACCAGTACCAGGTCCTTCTTTAGTCCCTCTTGGTCCTGGTTCTATTGAGGCCGAGCTGGTACTTGTGTTCTAACTGACAGCCTTTCCTCAGATACTAGTTTTTTGCGGTTGCTAGGATACTACATACTCAAACTCAGGTAGAGTAGAGTAGAGTAGAGTAGAGTAGAGCAGAGCAGAGCAGAGTAGAGTAGAGTAGGGCTGGTGGAAAAGGGGCTATAGTCTCTGTGGTTATTATGGGATGTAGAGTCTCTGTGTGTTTTTCCAATAAGTTTGTGATAATTTTGTGATAATTTTGTGATAAGTTTGTGACGTAGCGTTAGACTCGGGGCCGTTGGACTAAATTATTGCGCACACTTTGATACGGTCTGTTTTTGTTGTCGTGTGTTTTGGGGACGTGTGGTCTCCATGGCGACAGATGTATTTTTGTACGTGTTTTATCCCTGTTGTTGTGAGCGCAGCAGACTGACTGAGTTTTATTAGTTCTGCTGCGAACAACATCTGTCTACCTCAAATAAAGATCTTTATTCTGCAAACACACTTTCATTTCACTCAATAATATATCTTTTTAATCATAAACGTTTTAATGGTTTTATTTTTCATTTCACAATTTAAGAGTTTTATAAGCAGCTAAATAAAAACACTATTTAATATTTCCATGTTGCTTGATAAATTATTATTATATTTTTTTGGTGATATGTGTTTATTTTTTACTTTTTAAAACTCTGAGTTTAGCAGTTTTATCCATCGACCGATAAAACTTCTCCATTTCTATAAAAGGTTGTTTATGATTAGATTTTAGTTTAAATAATAAAATAATAATAAAACCTGCTCAGAATCTGCTTCATTCAAGATTTAAGAATTTATTTTCCATTTGCAGTAAAACCACTTTGGAAAAACTGTGTGCACCAGGTCACTGCCATCACACATGGTACGCACTACACATGGTACACACTACACATGATACACACTATACATGGTACACACTACACATGATACACACTATACATGGTACACACTATACATGGTACACACTACACATGGTACACACTATACATGGTACACACTATACATGGTACACACTACACATGGTACACACTACACATGGTACACACCACACATGGTACACACCACACATGGTACACACAACAGTAACTTTAGTTTAAAATTAGAGTTATAAAATTACAAAACCATCTGAACTCAAACAATAATAAGTATCTCTCTGGGGCCATGATTTTAGATTTTTCTCACCAGGAGGATTCTGGGAAAGAAACCTTTTTCTTTTTAAATGAGCAAAATAGTGCAATACACAGTGTCTATATCTATACGATATATATCTACTATATAAGATAAGATATGATAAGATAGACTTTATAGAATATATAAAGTCTATCTTATCATATCTGGATTTATTGGGAGATAAAACATCTGTTTTTAATATAAAGCTTGAAATATCAAAATCTGGATTTGAATTGTTTATGTTATTATAACCTTCTGATGCTAAATGAAGATTTGGAACAGACAAAAGTGATTTTCATCATATCATTTTCTTGCTTAAGAAAATGCAGTTTTACTCAAATTGATCAAAATGGATTTATAGCGTTTTGGAACCAAACTCTTCATATCTCTCTATTTACAGTACAGAGCAAAAGTTTGGACACCCTCTCTCCTTCAATGAGTTCTTTTCATGACTGTAGACCCGCACCAGGCTGTGTCAGGGCTGTTTGACCAATAAGGAGAGTCGCCGGACCTGAACCCAGTCCAGATGGTTTTGGACCTGAACCCAGTCCAGATGGTTTTGGGACTGGACCCAGTCCAGATGGTTTTGGACCTGAACCCAGTCCAGATGGTTTTGGGACTGGACCACAGAGTGAAGGGGCCAACAAGTGCTAAGCATCATGGGAACTCCTTCAGACCATTTCAGGTCCTCTTGAAGCTCATCCAGAGAATGCCAAGAGTGAAGCAGTATCAGAGCAAAAGGTTCTACTTTGAAGAACCAGAATATGTGAAATAACACATATTTACACTTGGTTCATACTTTTTTAGTACGAACATAATTCACATGAGTTGATCATAGGTTTGAGGCCCTCAGTGTCAATCCACAGTTTTCATCATCATGAAAATAATAAAAAAACGGTGCGTTCAAACTTTTGGTCTGTGCTGTAAGAGATACATATAGATATATACAGGGTTACACACACACACACACACACACACACACACACACACACACACCACACACACCACACACACACACACACACAAACACACACACACACACACACACACACACACACCCACACCACACACACCACACACACACACACACACATACACACACACACACACACACACACACACACACCACACACACACACACACACACACAGATGACCTTAGCTCTGTTGTCTCTGGTCTCAGCACACACTCTCCGTAGTGTTGTGCGTAAACATATGTGTGTCAGTGTAGTGTGTGTGTAGGTGTGTGTGTAAGTGTGTGTGTCAGTGTGTGTGTGTGTGTGTGTGTGTGTGTGTGTGTAAGGAGTTCAGGCAGAGTTCAGCCCTCTCACCTCTCCACAGGGGCCCGGGGCCTCAGCTCAGGGGCCTCTCTGTATGACATCACTGTAACACACATGTTTCCAGTAACACACACAGTGCATGAGGAGAGTGTGGCTGCTTCAAATCTCACTCTGGTCGATTTTAAAACTATTTCAGACCGACCAGAACCAGAGACCAACTAGAACCAGAGACCAACTAGAGACCAACCAGAACCAGAGAGCAACCAGAGAGCAACCAGAACCAGAGACCAACCAGAAGCAGAGAGCAACCAGAACCAGAGACCAACCAGGATCAGGGACTAACCAGAGACCAACCAGAACCAGAGCCCAACCAGAACCAGAGACCACCCAGAAGCAGAGACCAACCAGAAGCAGAGACCAACCAGAGACCAACCAGAACCAGAGACCACCCAGAGACCAACCAGAACCAGAGACCAACCAGAGACCAACCAGAACCAGAGACCAACCAGAGACCAACCAGAACCAGAGACCACCCAGAACCAGAGACCACCCAGAAGCAGAGACCAACCAGAACCAGAGACCAACTAGAGACCAACCAGTGACCAACCAGAACCAGAGACCAACCAGGGACTAACCAGAACCAGAGACCAACCAGAGACAAACTAGAGACCGGGTTGCGTTCATGGTTCTCGACCATGAACAGATGAATAACCATTTATCCACTATCCATGTACAAACACTAAACTCTTTGGTAATATAAAGTCCTCCTGCGGGATCAGTAAAATAAGTATCTAATTATCTAAACACACTAATTATGTATTTTAATTAAATCTGTGGCAAAAGACATTTTATTGAATCTCTGTTTCTCTATTTTATGTGTTTGAAAGTGACCTGTGTCTATCTCTGGTGTGTATTAGACATGTATCGGTACACTCTAAAAACCCAGCTCTAAAGACCCAGCTTTTAAAGACCCAGCTTTTAAAGACCCAGGTCTAAAGACCCAGGTCTAAAGACCCAGGTCTAAAAACCCAGGTCTAAAGACCCAGGTCTAAAAACCCAGGTCTAAAGAGTCAGGTCTAAAGACCCAGGTCTAGAGACTCAGGTCTAAAGAGTCAGGTCTAGAGACTCAGGTCTAAAGAGTCAGGTCTAGAGACTCAGGTCTAAAGACTCAGGTCTAAAGAGTCAGGTCTAAAGAGTCAGGTAAATGGAAACGAAACAAATGATAAGACAATAACAAAACATTCCTCTTCACCTCTTTCTGCTCTGACCCCGTGTCCTGCTGTGTTAGCTCCAGATAAACAGGAGAACACTGGCATGTCCTGTCATCACTGTGTGTGTGTGTGTGTGTGTGTGTGTGTGTGTGTGTCTCTGTGTGTGTGTGTGTGTGTGTGTTTGTGTGAGTGTGTGTGTGTCTCTGTGTCTCTCTGTGTGTGTGAGCTAGGGGCCAAACTCGGGGCAGATCCATCAGAAACCGGCCGAACAGAGTATTTATGGAGTAAACACGGCGGTCAAAGCGATGGAGGCTGAGCCACAGAACCATGACGGAGAATGGAAAGGTCAATATTAGCCTCAGAGCGGCCGCCGTCGAGCTACGGCGAGGATTATGGTGACGAATTAGTCCACGGTGACGTCAGGTACAGGGCTGGTACACAGGCGCCCGGTGGAGGAACCAGGTGGACGGACCAGGTGGAAGGGCCAGGTGTTAGCTAGTCCCACAGGTGTTAGTTAGTCCCATAGGTGTTAGCTAGTCCCATAGGTGTTAGCTAGTCTCACATGTGTTAGCTAGTCCCACAGGTGTTAGCTAGTCCCACAGGTGTTAGCTAGCCCCACAGATGTTAGCTAGTCCCACAGGTGTTAGCTAGTCCCACAGGTGTTAGCTAGTCTCACTGCTGTTAGCTAGTCCCACAGGTGTTAGCTAGTCCCACAGGTGTTAGCTAGTCCAAACAACAGAGACTGAAGTCGCTGTGACCTTTGAGGCCTGATCGTTTGAATATTAGATTCCAGACTAAAAGGTAAAAAGTAGTTATAGTTTAAATAAAGTTTCCAATTCACTTTACTTCTATAAAACAGTCTCTTAAACAATAAAATCAAACGGCTAAAGCAAAATGGACTTTTAAGTGAGAATTGTTGCTTTACACATTTCAGTCATTCATTAATTTGAAGAGTTTCTTTGCAAAAACAGATTTCTCCATTTTTTAAATACATCGACAACAAAAAAGCTTCAGTCTTAAGGTTTTGTTTTTGGCAGAAAAGTTGGAACAATTTTATCCAGAAAGGGTGAAACCGTATTTATATGGCACTAAAATAGATCTGGCTCAAAACTATTTGGTGACGGGCAAGTTCTCCCATATTTTTCCAAATGGCATTTAAATGTTTTTGCTACAAATGAACCGTTCATTATTGTTCATGTCCTTCTGACCCTGAGTCTCTGAAACACGGATCTCACATCGACTGCTTCTCTCTTGGAACCAAAAATATTGACTTTTTCAAAGATATATAAAACTGAAACACAGGTGCCATGGTTTATAACGATGGCTTAACGCAGACACAAAAGAAAATCTCACTGGACTTGTGCTGTTTTGCTCATTCTTTCGACAGGAAAGGGTTAGAACATAAGATCCTCTGCTCTCTCCTGTAAAAACAACTCAGAGACAGACCCCCGGGGGCCACAGGGAGCCACAAGGGCACCCTCGGCCGGTGCACCCCTGCCCCGACCACTCACCCTAACAGACCGTAAGCTCAGGCCGGAGACAGTGGGACAGGTTCACCATGTTTACGATGTGGTCGCGTCCCGAACTGCCGACCCGGAGGCGCGAGACGTGACGAAACGCCGTGGTCATGTGACATTAGCGGCCGTAAAAGCGACAAATGACGGCGCGAACGAGGAAGGAGAAGGGTTTCCATCATGGCCGCCGTGTAGCAGTGTGCAGCGGGAAAAATGGGGGTCAATGTGCCGCAATGACGACGGAAAGAAGAGACTGTATCGAAGAGCGCTGGAAGTATGATGCAAGAGAATTTACTGTTGGCCAATTATCGACCTGTCTCCTTCTGTCACCGTTTCACAAAACACTCTCATCGAAAATACTTCTTATTTACCGTCTGAAAGTCAAGGCAAAACAGATCTACCGACTAAATTGTAAGTAGTAAGTAAATAAATACATTAAATACATGTTTTATCGTTCTCCATAGTATTTCAATAACATGTTTACAACAACAAAGGCAGAGCTGTTGTGAGGGGAACATACCTGAGAACGCATGACACGTGGGGTACCGCAAGGGTCTACACTGGGACCCACGTTATTCATAATGTCCATGGATCATGCTGCGGCGACTTTCAATGGTACCTGAACTCTCCGTGGGGAGTGACCATAGACTTGTTTGGACCTTTTTCTTCAAATCTACTGTATGTTATCAAGGTTTTTGGTCCCGCACTCTTGGCTTTATGGTCAGAGGTCGGGCTGGACGATTTTATTTCCTGCTTTGGACGATTTCAATTTTAAGCTGATTTTCATTAAAGTCACAGAAGACGAAATGTTTTGATCTTTCCGCTCAATATTTAAGTTTCAAAACTATTTTAATTTGTTTCCCCCAATACGTGTTATAAAAGTCTTGACTGTGCTGATATTGCAAGTATAATTCATGTGCTGCTGGAACTCTCACAATATCCTTTTCACATTTTCACAAGTTCGATTTTTTCACAAAAAGCGATTAATTGCCTAAATTGGATTTATTGCCCAGCCCTAGTCAGAGGTGTGTGTCCCTTTGACTCTCATACAGTTGTGGGTTATAGTGGGGTTGGACTGGGGTCACTTCTGATGCCTGAACGGTCCCTGTGCTCAGGTGTTGGAAAAGCAGGTGCTCAGATCAGTTCACTTTATCTGTCCTTCTCATCCCCTTTTTTATCTATAACTGGGTCTGTGCTCGTTCAGTGGGGGCTTCAGGCAAAGTGGGGGCTTCAGGCACAGTGGGGTTAAGTGTCTTGCCCGGGGACACAACAACAGAGGGAGCAGATGACAATTTAAATGTGTTGATGTTATCTCTGTGCAGCACTTTGGAAACTTTTTTAAATGTGCTCTATAATTAAAGTGGATTGAATTGAACATGGGTCGTGGGGGAATCGAACCTATGACCATCAGTCAAAAGACCAACACTCTGTAAACTGAGCCACTGTCGAGCACACTTTATCTTTGTGTCGCCCTAATACACAGCAGTCCCCGAGGAGGAACAAGATTCAACTGCTGTGAATAGTTCCATTTTGGACCATTTTTTATAAGATTAGACTAAACTTTATTGTTTTTACAAAGTCAGACTGATGCAGTTTAGCCTCTGACCCAGTCCATGTCCAAACTCAGGCTCGAGGGCCAATTGCGGTCCTCGGTCCCGTTTTTTTTCGCCCTCTGCTGCTAACACAAAGTCTCCATTGAGGCACTTTGAACAGTGTCATCCAGCCAACTTCAGCTCCACCAACAGTCATGCTATACCTTGTTGTTTTTCTTAGACCCTCTGGAATCCAGTCGGTCCAGCTCCAATCCGGTTTTTAAATCCAGGTTGTCGGCCCCCAGGTCAAGTCTGATGACCTAAAGTGGCCCTCCTACTAAAAGTCTGGACACCCCTGCTCTAACCTGTGCAGGAGTACAGTACAGGATCATGTTTACAGCAGATTGTTTGTGTGAGACTAAGCTTCTGTCGCTCACACAGACATGACTTACTTTACACATTTGTGGCGCTGCTGCAGAAAAAACAAGGCCGAGGACACACACATGACCCCGGCGGCGTCGACAGCTCGCTCTCCTGACCCTGATCACATTTCCCATCATGCCGTGCTGCCGACAGGACGGTGCAGAGGCCTGGCCCTGGCCCGAGCTCGACCCCAGTCCCTGACCCGCCCCTGATGACCCCCGACAGACCCCGCTCTAACCCCAGCTCTGAGGGAAAGACTCGAATGTAGTCTCCGATGTTCTGGAAAAACCATGGGTCCGGTTCAGACCAGATCGGACTTTTTTGTGTGGAAAGAACTTTTAATCAACAAAAAAATAAAGTCAAATCCATGTCACTAGTTCTTCTCTTGGAAACTGTGTCTATCGTTAGTTTTCACATGTGTGTATTTAAGGCCTGTGTGCCCTCTATGTTAGTGTCATCTGAACCAACTCTGAGGAGCACAGGGACTGGCCTCCTGCTGGGACTCTGAGGAGCACAGGGACTGGCCTCCTGCTGGTCCCAGAGTCAGAACTAAACGGAGATTCAGAATTAATTGGCTAAAATCCAAGGGACTCCTCAGAAATGCCCAGTCCCTGTGCTCCTCAGAGTCCCGGCAGGAGGCCAGTCCCTGTGCTCCTCAGAGTCCCAGCAGGAGGCCAGTCCCTGTGCTCCTCAGAGTCCCAGCAGGAGGCCAGTCCCTGTGCTCCTCAGAGTTGGTTCATACGGCTCTAACATGTCACAGACTTTGGTACGAGGCCATGAGAGACTAGTCTAGTCTCTGAGCCACAGGTGCAGAGACCTGAGACCAGGACTAAAGGATCTTGGACATATTCATTCACAGAAGGCCCCAGATCATGGAGACTGGTTCCTGGTTCTCTGTCCTGATCCAATCACAGAAGGAGGAGCGGATGACATCACCTCAGGTAGAGCCCCAGGCAGGTAGGGCCCCGCGGTGCTGCTCGTCCAGAGGGATTCATTCATCAT